GATTTTGTTTTGGGGGTCCAGATTACAAGCACTAATTTATGCCAAATCTTAAAACTTGCTTGTAGAACAATTATTTACATAACATGAACACTTCCACATCTCTACATATTTCAATGTTTCTCTATCATAAGAAATTAAATGTGATTTGAATTTGCATCCACTTACAGCTTTTATCACCAGATATTTCAGATTTTACTGGCTTATAAAATCACTAAAGAGAGACAATACAGTAGTTAGGGCACTTGCCTTATGCACGGTTGACCCTGGTTAACCCCCCAGTGCCCCATATAGTCCCCCAAGCACCATCAGAGATGATTCCCAAATTCAAAGCCAGGAGTAAGCATTGAACATAGTTGAATATGGCACAAACAACAAAACAGATTTAGTGACAAATAGCTAAAGATATAAGTAAAATAATAATGTTAGAAAAATCATACATTTTTGTTAAGGACACACTTTCCTATGTGTTTATCTTATAACTACATAAACTAGACTTGTACAGAAGCATCTAAAACATCTCCATATCTACAATATTCATGAGTCTTTGGGGTCTATTTGGACAGATGTTAATAGGTAAATAATGTGCATGCTATAAAATTTGCCTTTCACTTATGGAAATGAGATTGTGCTTTGTCTCCTCAAACTAAATACTGAGATGATAAGATATGATTAAGTCCTTGACACAGAGACATAAAATGAAATTCAAAAGTCCTGGAAAAATCAAGTAAATACATTTTTATATCAACAACTGAAAATTCATAGCCAAGACAAGGTGATAGAGTAAAGGAAGTAAAATACAGTATTCATCATGTTTCTTGGTATTCTAGCTTGCCATATTGCTATGTAGTATATTATAGTAAATCAGGCCTAGTTCTAAATTGCTGATTTGTTCTTGTGGGAAGTAAAAACTCTGAAAAGTTTCCCTGGAAACTTCTGGAAGTACTAAGGAGCCTCTAGCTATACTAATTTTCAGTTAAATGACTCAATTCCTTCTTGGAAATAGGTGAGTTATAAATTATGAATAACTTAGAAAAAGAGCAATCAACTGCTTCCCTAAGAATAAAAACAAACTAAAAAGCAATAACACAACAAAAAGGTGAGATATTACATAATTGTCTTTCCAGATCTTGAAACTGGAGATCGATATATTGTTTATATCCTGGTAATTCTGTCCAAAAGTATCTATACTATAAGTGGAATGGAATATTTAAAACTGTGATGAACGTGGACCCAGTGAGAAAGGAACATTAATAGACTTCATAATTTCAATAATATTAAGCATTGATACTAATATTTGCTTTTATCCTCTGAATTACAGCTTGGAAGAATTTGATTTGTATTATTCCTTTAGATCACATATGTGAAGCTTGTAAATGTATATGAATTTTCTATTTCTATTTCTGACATACCAACCTTCCATACCTTAAAACAACTCTCAGTATGGGTATGTGATCTGAGATGGGCTCTATTGAAAAGTTCTTTATTGTCATTCCTGGGGGTTCCCAGATGAACTTTTTACCTTCAGGCCTCAGCAGTAATGGTTGGACCTGCTGCTTTTTACTCTGTTGTCACTCTTTCTCAACAAGACAAGTGTGGGGTTTTTTTACAAGGTGACAGGGTTCCATAGCATGTAAGAGAAAAACAAAAAACAGAGGTAAAACACCTTGAAGTTTAGTATTTAGACTCCCAGAGTGCCCTTCTGCCACTCTCAGTGGGTCAGAGTGTGTCGTTGAGTCAACCAGATTCTAGTAGAAGGAAATAAAATTCATTTTTGCAGGGAGGCAACAGCAAAGAAGTAACTACTTTTAACCCACTTCAAAAAAGAGCACTGCCTTTATCAGCTCTGTAACTCAGCTATGTGTATTGTTTCTTTTGATAATGCTTTGTGTCCTGTTCCTCCCCTTTATATCCCCATTCCAATAATTCTTTTCTGGGTCAAAACAGAATAACCTCTAGCAAGTAATCGTATCAGCCATGTCCTTGACATCAATCAGTCTCTGCCATTCTATTCACAAGACAATTTTCTCTCGCTAAGTATTGTTTTTATCCTATTTTCCTGTCCTTCACACATCTGTGTAGTTTTCCATTTCCTGTCCCCACTTTCAGTCATTTTCTATTACTTCCTCTGTGTTTCAGCATTTCTCCTACTATTCCATTTCCTGTCTCAAGCTTCTCCTTCTAACACCTTGACCATCTGCAAAATATTTTTTCTTGTCTCTCTGAGGTAGGAGGAAACTAGTGTTGATCATTTACTGTATTCAAGACAAAGGTGATCAAAGACCCTTCTATGATGAGGGAGAAATTGTATGTAAGTGAATTAATTAATAAGAGGTTTCATACAAATATATGTGATAAGAAGATCTAAGGAACGCAGTTATGTTACTGGGGAGGGTAATGTCAAATCCTCAGGGTTTATTCTTTGAAAGAAATAACAATTGAGTAATTGCACTGAGGTCTTTTAGCTTCATGGAAAAAGGTGGAAGGAGAAGAATTACAGATAGAGGAGACAGTCAGCAAAGTAACTTCTTCCAAATCCTTGCTTTGTTTAGGAGTAAACAAGTCTGAGGTTTATCATTTGGTCCAGTGACTCTAAACCCTGGATGCATGATAAAATCATCTAGAATGTATTTCAGAAAGTATTTTAAAAATCATATTTGAAAGCTTTCACCAAAGTTTTCTCACAAACATGTCAAACGTATTCTCGAAAGGTGGGGAAAGGAAATGCTTATTTATCTGTGTGTCATAAATTCCCATAGTATTCTAATATGCAACTGAAGTTGATAACCTCTGAGTTAATCATAGTGCTTTCCAAACATAGGTGTGAGAAGATCATGCGTGAATCTATCTGAAATGTAGGTTCTGGTTTACTATGTTCGAAGTATAACAAAGATGTATTCATATATTTATTTAGAGTTATTTGTTGGTTTTTTTTGGGGGGGGCACATCTAGTAGTGCTCAATGTCACATTGCTTCATACTCAGGAGACCATGTGGTACTGGGGATCAATTAAATCTGGCATTCTGAATATAAAGCACGCACACTAGTGCTTTGAGTTCTCTCCCTGTCCCGAGATGATGCATTTTTTTTTTATCATCTCCTCTATGATTCGAGTACTGTCACTCTGGCTGTTACTCACTGTATGGAGTTTAGAGCAGAAGTCTCAGTAACCCCCAGGGAACTTGATTAGAAGGACAATCTTATTTGCAGAATGAGAAAACACATAGCAATCACTTCCTGTATCAGAAATTTGAGGTGAAGGGGGCGGGTTTCTGTCTGTGCTTTCTTTGTTGAAGATCGGTTGATTCTGAGAGTCGCTAATGTTTGGAAGTTCATCTTAATTACATTCTAGACTGTGGATTTTTCTAATTATTTCCTATATACCAGTCTGTTCATTTGTCTCAAGCATTTGAATTGAAGTACGGGTGTAAAGCCTTGGTGATTTCTTCCATTTCCTAAGTCTCTGTGCAGAGAAAACTCCTCTCTCATTCTAGATAGAAGCGGAGATAGAGCTCAGATTTCACTTCTGTCTCGAATGCCTCTTTGTATCCCCACCTTTCAAGGTGCCAGGAGCTGGCTAAGCCCCTGCAGGTGATACTCTATTGTTGCAGGTGTCACCTGCAAGGGCCCATTTACTGAAGTACTGTTCAGTTCTGGTGAAGGGATATTGTAACTCACCTCTATCCCTAGCCTATCAAAATAATTGTGCTCTGTTCTACTTCCTTCTCAAACTTCAGTTAGTGGTTTTCCCCCTATTAGGCAGCTCCAGGGAGTGCTGTTGAGAGAAGCAATTGAATTCTTGCCAGTTTGGGGCGTGATTCAACACTGTTCCAAATCTCTGTGTTTACTCTCTTCTAAAATGTGTATAGTTCTGATACAATTATCTGAAGAAAAAAATATGAAAGTTTTATATGCAGGAAATGATAACTACTTGACAGCATATAATAACTGTAGCAGTGCTTTTTTGTAAGGAATAGATATACTTCATTATTTTGTGATGCAAAAAGTTGAAAAAAAAGAGGGAGTTGAAATAAAAATGTTCCAAGTGAATATGTATACTCTTATATCCTACAGAGAATCAATCCATTTTAAGTTTCAAAAGAATGCCACATTATGAGAGTAATTTTATAGCATAAAGACAATTCCTTTTTCTCTCTCCATCAAGTCTGCCATCAGTTCCTTTCCACCACCATTAAATTGCAATAAACCTTCTTCCCCACCATTGAAAAAAATTAGAGATAGGTCATTAGCACTCTAGGATATTGAAAAATAATATTATTTCCTGGAACTTTGCAATTATTTATCCACAAACTAAATAGGCTAATAATCCAAATAAAAACATGGAACTTCAACTAACCATGGTTATTACAGGGCTAAAAGGCTAAAGAGGAAGATTTGGCAAGTAGGGAATATCATGTGAAATAAGCACAAATTCTTCTGATTTGTTTTAAAAATATATTTTTGCAGTAGATATTAGGTTAAAAAGTTATAGCGTTCAGATACATATTACATCTTGTTGAGAGGTCCAATTGTTGGAGATACCCTACAGTGCAAATTAAGATAACACTGCACAGTTGCATGCATTTTTAGATTCTGAAACAAGCTTTATTCCCTATAATCCATAATTATAGACTTCCTCTAGAGTTCGCATGTGAAAATTTCTGGGGCATTTGTATGTTGTATTCTGTTTCCTGCCTTTCATATACTACTTCTACAATTCACTTGTTTCCCTCAAAATCCATTTGCTCCTCCTCTTTGGTATTTCCATTCATATCATCATCCATAATTTTAGGTTCTGGAAGATGGCATGCCTGCTCTTTTGTGGTTCTTTTCCTCTTTTTTTCAACTATCATCCATGCAAAAGTGTTAATTATCTGAGATGAGTATCATTATCTTTCACTTGAATTATACTTGGGTCATCAAATATTCCGTATCTGAAATCTATGAACATCTGCCTAGGATGCTTTTCCAAAATTAATATTCGTTGTCATTTCCTTTCACAGTTTGTGGCGATGAATGCACAGGCCTTCTCCTCACTGACCTGGCTCGCCTGGAGCAGATGGCCATGAGCATCAACCTCACTGGCCCTCTGCCTGCTCCATACAAAATACTCTATGGTCTTGAAAATACAACTCAGGAATTGAAGGTAAGTTCACAACACAACAGAAGGAGTCAAGAAAAATGACATAAGCTGCCCAAGGTGTAGTGTACATAACTTGTAGAAAACTCTTACTAGAACAAATCAGGAAAGCAACCATTAGGGAAATTCAAATATTTCCTAAGTGGTGTTTTTTAAAAAAAAAACAAACTTGAGAACCATAATATTCATATTACTCTTCAAGAAAATAGCCTCAATTGCCCCTAGTGTTTGGTCTACATCAATTTTATTATGTTACTTAAATATGTGCAGACATAAAGTCAAGTAGAAATGCATAGCTCTATAAAACTAAAACAAATTAGTCCTTAGAAATGCCTAAAGAAATAAAATTTATGCTGAAAGCATGCATGATAAAATAATGAATAATTGCGTGGAAAGAAAACTGCTGCATGCTACAAGGCTATGCTGTCACTTTGACAGTGGCTCTTTCATTACCCATGGTGGTTGATAACCAAGTTCAAGTTTTCACAATTTAAAGTATAATGCCCATATAAGAGATCCTGAAAAATACTAGGTAAATTCACATGACATATGTGTCTTAATCTACAAGATGAGCAAATGCATGCAAATATGGAAACTAAGATGGGGTGGCTGTATATAGGCCCCGAGTGCTCATTTCAAGATTCAGGAATTCTATTATAACACTTAAATTTATTATCCAAATGGAAACACAAGATTAAAATTTTTCACTAGAAAACTCATACTTTGAAAGTACTGCAACAAGAACTAATTTGAGAACTACTTTAAAACATTGATAACATTTATTATAGTTAATAGAGTAGGAGGAAAGATTAAGGAAGTTAGGGTTTCATGTGATAAAAAAAAAGCTGATTACTTATACAAGGTTAATTAGAGTGTTTTGAGAATTTTTGGAATATTCCATTGTTCCCTAGGAGTTTTGTGACTTCTAGTGTCTGCTCAGGAAGCTTAGAGCTTATACTCTTAAAAATATATCACTGAATAATAATTAAGCAATAAGGAAAATTTCACCACACAGTTAACTATCGACCACCACATGTTTTATAATAATTTGACATACAACTGTGCAACGTTATGTTGGTAAATATTCAAGAATCATGAATGAGAGTATAACTTATGATTTCTGTTGGAACTTGAATAGACAAAAAATATGTATCTATTACATGTTTATTTATTATTCCAGTTTGATTTACTAGAGATCAAACTCAGAGCCTTGCACATGCAAGGAACTTGTGAATTAAATTTCACTGGAGGAATATTGTTACAATCTGGGAAAAAAATCTAACATTTATTCACTAAGAACTAGCAGACACTCTTCTATAATTCAATCAAGACAAAAATCTTTAAGATAAATATTATCAGTATTTTCCAGACAAAAGTCAATAATAATGAAAGAATAAATAATGTTATTATGAGTATCTATCTATGTTAGGTCATGGTCCTGTCACTGTCCTCCTGTTGTTCATTAATTTGCTCGAGCGGGCCCAGTAACATCTCCATTGAGACTTTTTTACTGTGTTTGTCATATCAAATATGTCACGGTAGCTTCCCAGGCTTTGCCATGTGGGTGAGATACTCTCGGTAGCTTGCCGGGCTCTCCAAGAGGGGTGAAGGAATCAAACCCAGGTTGACCCAGGTCTGCCACGTGCAGGGCAAATGCCCTACCCACTGAGCTATCGCTCTATATTAGGTAACAACTAAAATATTACAGAAATGATCATACATAATATTTTAGAAAGAAATAAAACAAACTCATATCAACTACATTTTTCTGTAGTGAAACAGAGGTACAGAAAAGTCATATTTGAATTATAATATTCCATGGGTATGCATTGTAGAACTGGAATTTAAGTTACAGAGAGTATAACTTTAGGACCTGTGAGAATAAAAATGAATTCTCTTTCCATTGAATCTAAGAGCCATGTTAACAGAAACAGAGTTGTGTAGTAGAGTATCTGTCTGGCAATCACTGAAGTCAGGCCTGCTAATGAAAGATAAGGGTGGTGATTTCATATAAAGGGCACACTTGAAAGCCAGGCAGGGGAATGTGAGTTTACTTTGGGTATCCAGTAATCAAAAATATAAAGAGTATTAATAAAGAAGATGTTGACCACCTATTATGTCCACACATAGAAAAGAAAGATAAATAATCTAGATAAATAATGTCAGCAGAATGTTTGTAAATTAATATTTAAGCAGTGGATACTTAAATACTTTATTATGGAAGAGGTTTCAGTAAGTGAGTATCCTAAACAAAGAGATTTCCTTATTAAGAATGTCAGTTGATCCAAAGGACCTTAATCTTCTTTAAAATCCCATTCCTTCTTGATTCAGGTGTTTTGTTGTTCTTTCACAATTCGTATAATAATTGCATATTTCCACTTCTATATTTTTACAACATAGGTGGGTTATTTGGTTTTTAGCTCAGTTCTTTTAGCTATGACATTACCTACTGCCCGGGATCCAACCAGAACTCACCAGGAACAAACAAATGATGAAGCATGACTGGGATATTAATTTGTTCAAAAGAGGCAGTGGAGGGGCTGGAGTGATAGTACAGCGGGTATGGCAATTGCCTTGCACACAGCCGACCCAAGCTCAATTCCCAGCATCCCATATGGTCCCCTGAGCACTGCCAGGAGTAATTCTTATTGCAGAGCCAGGAGTAACCCCTGTGCATCGCTGTGTGTGACCCAAGAAGCAAATAAGTAAATAAATAAAGAGGCAGTGCGCACTATAAAGTATTTGGGGGTGTGTCCATAAGAAGATATTAGGAGCACCTTTTGCTGTTTGTATTCATGCTAGGCAATTTTCAGGGCAGCAGGATTTTACACTCCATTAGGTGCTGTTAGGAAGTTGTAGCAACTCTGTAACTCAGTATTCTAGTGCATGTTGCCTTGAAGAAGGGGAAAATGAAGGCAACCTAGAGCTGAGATATAATTAGTAAGAAGACAACAAGTTGTTCTTGCTACCTAGAAAATAGAAGTGTTGGCACTTTTACAGTCTGCTTAGAGGCCACAGACTCATGGAATTGTGATAAAATTATGGAGTGGTGTCATGTTTTGTTTCATCCATCACTGTCACCACATGACCCCTGTTTCATGGTAGTGTTCACGTGATTGTTTGCATTCAGTAGGAGAACACAGTCACTGTGAGCGCCAGGCCTGCTCTCACCAATACTGAGATCGGCCAGTTAGTGTTCAGCAGGGCCCTGGATGAAGGGCTCTTGTCTTCTTTGTTACCTGCAAACTGGGCTTCTGTTGATTGAAATGGAACATTAAACAATCAGACCCTGCTCATTTGGAATCTGCTTCTTCAGGCCATGTGCTTTGGAGACAGTTTTTAACCTCAGCAGGTGATGGATTTCCTGGGCACAAGATGCAATGACATTTATCTCACCTGATTGTTGCAAGTTAAAAGAAGCAAAAGAGAAGGCCTGGTACACAGTAATTTCTCAACAAATGACTTTTTATTCGTTACCTTAGTATTCTACATGATACTTTGAGTATAAAAGTGCAGTTTAATAGGTTTTTCCCCGCGTTTCTCTTTGAAGACAACAAGGACAAGGTATTTGTATATAAAGAAAAACTGTGTTCTATTAAATGTTCAACACATGATAACTGCAAGGCCATTCGCTAAAATGTATATGGAATCAATCTTTTCCAGCATTTGCTCTCACCCCAGCGAGCCCCGGAGAGACTAATTCAGTTGGCAGAGGGCAATCTGAACACTCTTGTGACAGAGATGAATGAGCTTCTGACCAGGGTAAGTTGGCAAAATTGTGAAAGTTCTTCAAATGGATCAAGCATATTAGGAAAACGTACTTCAAATTTCTAAAATGAAACATTTTTTTCTTCCTAATTCTCAACTTGTTGTATGAAACAGATGCGTTTTTCTATTGATATTTGTTTCTCAAATAAGATCCTAGAATTGATGGTGCAAAAATAAGTTTGGTATACTTAGGGAATATCAAGAACATTCTCTAAAAAGACCAGAATTCACAGCATATTTTGAAAACTATTCATAGTAAAGTTTACATATATTCTGAATATCAAACACATTTTCTTTGATTATGCAAGAAAAAGAAATAAAAACTTTCTTAGACTCTCTTCATAGAATTTTTGCATTTGTATAGAATTATATTCTAAATCAGTATTCTTACACAAAGGGAGAAATCTTATTCACTGTGAAAATATAAAGCATTCAAGATATTTTTAAAAGTCACAATGTAAAGTCCATTTACCAAACTTTCTAAAGAACTGAGAGTTTTAAACTTAAGAAACTGCAAAAGTTACGGCTCTTTTTGCGGGTAGAGAATGAAGAAAACAACATAAAGTCCGCCATCTAGTGGCTGGAAAGACGTATGGACCACAAAACCGGCCTTTAAGACCCACTTTGATTATGTAAGCATTTGAAATAACAAAGAAAATAGGAGCTAGAAAGTTCTTACAAATTATATGTCCATATCTTTTTTCCTGGAAAAGCTTCTTTATAGCATGAAAGTGAAATGTATTAGCAATGGCAACACAATTCACTGAACCTAGGGAGCTGAATAAAGACCCAGTCTCCAGAATCCCATCGGGCCAGTCAGTGTGTTTTCAAACCAACCTGCTGCTGGTTTAGGAAAATTTCCACAGGGAAATCAAATGGGCTTCTGAGCACATATGCTAAACAATGACCCTGATGTTACAGCAGCAGCCAAAGACTTGCAGAATTGTATAATATCAATGCATAATGAACAGATATAACTTAATCTCTTACCAAACATAGTTAGATATTAATTAATGTGTACATTTATCTCATACTAACTGTTTATTTTGCATCTGCGGGAGAATACCACTGAATAAGTAATTTTAAGAGTATCAGAGCAGCATTAACTCACTTAAAGAACCACGGATGAATGTTTATCACGTTCATTCCACTTACAGCTCAGATGGGAGATATGAGGTGTCTCTGTTTTCATAGACCTTACATTTATGTGCATATGTGTGTTTGAGCATGTAGTTGTGTCATTATAAGAACAGCTACATTTTCAACTACATGTAAATACATAATAGCACATGAACTGAAATAGAGGAGTAGAAGTGTATCAGAGAAATGTATCTGCATTAAATAATGTAATTCTGCTAAGAATATTTTGGGGGAAATTTCATGCAACAGTTGGCAACTCATTCATTTACTCATGCATTCATTTCATTAAAATGTCTGTAGGATCTTTCATGTTCTAGGGTAGGCACAGTTTATTATGACACACACTGGGGATAATTGTTTAAGCAACCCTGACAGAATTGTCCTCATGGAGCTGATCCCTGTAATGATGTGAGACTACTGGAGACAAATACTTCACCAGGAAAGCCAGATCTTTATGAGAACTTGCTTTACAGCCTTTCATTGTTCCAGCAGTCTCTTTCATATTAAATTTGTAAAAATAGACTCTATTTTAAAGAAGTAGAAGTTACAAAATAAAACTTACTTGGAAATGTAGCCTGTATCCCTCCTGCCGCTACATATGCAAGGCCTTCCCTATCATCAGCATCCCATGGTGCTTCAGGTGTTAAAATAGATGAACCTACATTGACATGTTATTTTCACTCAAAATTCATAGTTTGCTTTAGGGTTCACTCAGTGTATATTCTGTGTTTGGAAAAAATGTTTAATGCTTTTTCTCCATCATTATAGATCATAGAGTAGTTTCACTGCTTTAAAAATTTGTCCTCCACCTGTTCAGTCTTGTCTCCCAAACACTGGCATTCACTCATCTTCTTATTATCTTTAGACTTCTGACTTTTCCAGAGTGTTAGATAGTTGAAATCATGCAGTATGTAATATTTTTTTCATATTGCCTTTTATCAATTACTGAGGATATATTTAAGGTTTTTGTTTGTTTCTTAAAAAAAATTATTAAGGAGCCATGATTTACAAAGTTACTGGTAGTTGTTTTAGACAGACAATAATTCAACATCAATCCCTCCACCAATGTTAACTTCCCCAACAGTTCTCCCAGATTCTCTCTCCAGTCTGACCCCCACCCCACCCCTGCCTGACAAGCACATTATAGTGTTTCAGTGGTTGCAGCTTAGAGTTCATATTTTTAATTCTGATTAATCTGTGTTTTGGGTATATGACTATACTCACTCTGGTATAAATCTTTCTTATAGCATCTCAGACTGAGACAGGTCTTTTTAAATTTTAGTTAGGGTTTCCTCCTTATTACTGGGTTTTCATAGTACTTTTCACACTTTGAATAGCAGTGGTCTTTTATCAGTTAAATCTTTTGCAAATATTTGTCCCTTCATTCGTCACTTGCTTTTTCATTGTCTCTAGAGTTTCTTCCATGGTGCAACTGATTTCCATTTTAATGAAATCTAGCTTATGAATTGTTTTATGATCATGCCTTTGATGTATGTAAACAATCATCACCACATTCAAAATCAGCTAGATTTTCTACAACTGCTGTAGTTTTGCATTCTGCATTTAGTATATTTTCTAATTTGAGTTTTCAGTAATATTTTAAGCAAGGTTTTATTAAAATAGTTGTAGATTCCCAGAAAAGCTACTAAGACAGGACAGTTTTCCCATTTAACAAATACTTTGTTCTAATGTTAATATTGTAGTACTGTACATCTGTCACAACTAGTATATTTATTTCTATTATCTAAAGAGGGTATTTTAGTCTAATGTATTCAGTTTTAACTCACTCCCTTTTTATTGTCCCATGATTCCACCTGAACACTATGGTTATTTAGTCAGTTTTCATAGTCTCTCTAGATTGTGACAGTTTCTTAGACATACCTTTTTTTAAAAATGTTTTTGACAGCTTTGAAAAATTCATGTATTTTTTATGATGTCCCTCAGAGGGGACTTTCTCATGATGAGAATGGAGTTGTAAGATTTTTTTTTGAGTAAGACTTAGTGGAAAAGTACCTTTTAAAAAATCATATCCCATTAAGAAACCAGACAATCAACATGTCTCATTGTTTTTGATATTGGCCTTGATCACTCAGATGAAATAGCATTTGCCAGATGGCTCCACAGGAAAGTTATAGTTCTTCCTTTTTACATGCTCCAATACTATTTTCCTCTGTCCATTTGTTAGATTTTGCAATATGATAAAAATAAACACAAATATGCAGAGAGTTTCAGCGGGTAAGGCACTCACCCTATATGTGGCTGATCTAGGTTTGGTCCCTGGCACCATAAATGTTCCCCTAAGCCCCTCTGAGTGACCCCTGAGCGCAGAGCCAGGATTAATACCAATGTATAGGTAGATTTGTCCCCCAAACAAAGAAACAGACAAAAATTAACCTACTGGGCAAGAGAAATGGTATAACAGATTAGTTGCTTGCCTTGCATGCTCCGGACCCAGGTTTGGTCCCTAACACCCCATATAATCTCTAAGCTCTATCCAAAGTGATCCCTGAGCACAGAGCTAGAAGTCAGCCCTAGAATTGCTGAAAAATAAATATAAAAACAATAGATGAAAACAAAAGATGAAAACAAAAATGATGAAAATTAAATAAACATAAAACCTGCTAAAGCCCAACATTTCTATAATTGGAGTCAGACTGTGAAAAGTTAATCCCCACTGATTATTAACTTTATCCCTCCTACAATTATAATTGGAAATATAACCATTGTGAAGACCTCCGGATATTCAGGTAAACACAGTTCTGCGGTGGTCAGTTACATGATAGTCTAATGCATTTTAGTCAAACTGAAATAAATGGAATGTAGCAAAGGACTAATGGCATAAATGATTGAAATATTCAGTAGTATCAGGCAAAGATCCCTGCATCTCCCACTCATGCCCATGAACGGAAAAGCACATGGGAACAGACTGAAAAGTACAGCAACTATTGATGTTCATAACTACATTGGAGGAGATAATGCTTTAAGGACTAGAACTGCAGAGTGGAATTACCTGGTGCAAAGTACCACCGGCAAAGGTTGAGATATTACTCTGAGCTGCAGGATGGGATATGGCACGTTCCAAGGAGTTCTAAATGACTCTGATGTCAACTGATGTGAATCTGATGTCAACTGAGATGGAGAATTCCTATGAAAAGATTTACCTGTTGGAGATCTCTCTATCTCTATCTCTATGTCTATCTCTATCTCTCTCTTTCTCTTTCCCCTCTTTGTCTCTCTTCCTTCCCTCTCTCTCTCTTCTGTTCTTTCTCTCTCCTCTCCCCTCCCTCTACCATCTCCTCTCTCCCTCTCCTCTCCCCACCACTCTGTCTGTACCCTCTCTCTCCATTCTCTTCACTCTCCTTCTCTCTCTCTCTCTCTCTCTCTCTCTCTCTCTCTCTCTCTCATTATTGGTAAATCCAGTTTTTTTGTTTTGTTCTGGAGCCACACCCAGCAGTGCTCTAGGGTTCCTCTGAGCTCTCCACTCAGGAGTTACCTTTTTTCTCTGTTTTGCGATGTGATAAAAATTTTTCTAATCTGTTAAAACATTTGGCAAGTTTTTTGCCTGCATAACTGGTGGGAGAGCTTTACTCTTTCTTTTAAGTACATATATTTTTGTGCTCTTTTTTTGATGAATAAATCAAGTTTCCAAATAATCATTTGTAAAGAGAATAATATTTCTCCTCCATTATGGGATCTCGGAGAGCCCGGCAAGCTACCGAGAGTATTCGATATGCCAGACACAGTAACAACAAAGTCTCCAATGGAGACATTACTGGGCCCGCTCGAGCAAATCGATGATCAACGGGAGGGACTTTACTTTTTACTATTATGGGATTTAAAATTTTTTAGCTGAT